GTGTGTGTGTGTGTGTGTGTGTGTGTGTGTTAGCAAAATATCTCATGAACCAGTGGACAGATTTCAATGAAAGCTCTAGAAAGAATAAATGCAGATTTACAACTCATCTAAATTAGCATGCACAGATGGACTAGGACTCAATTAATGTAACAAATTCTGAGCTAAAATTTGCTGTGGTTTTAGCTTCTACACATACTGTGAGCACTAACCAATGGTGCATGGTATTTGCTTAACTTGGGTATTAACTGGAGTTAACCTTGTGTAACACTAAACAGATTTTAATAAAACACAGAAAGTAATTATTGGATGTAAATCTACAGCTATTTAACTTTTGAAGTCTATCCAATTCAAGATGGCCACCATATTAAGTAAAATTTAAAGCTATTGAACTAAACTTTGATATAGTGGTAAAGAGTCCTTGACACATACGTCGGGAACTGCCCGGTAATGGGTCCTGAAAGGTCTCACTATATTAATTAAGATTACACAAAATTCATTCTTCCCAGTTTTTTTTCTCACATATGAGCAGCCAACACACACATACACAATCATTAGAGAGGTCTGAGTTGAGTGAGGGATACGTTATCTGACCCTCTGTGCTGTGTTGGAATTATCAGATGAATCACAGAACAGCTGTGATTGAGTCAGAGTTAGAAGTAAAACTGATTGGTTGAAAATGGTTCAGGAGCTCAGCCAATTAGTCTGATTAGGGGGAGGTTACAACAATGGCTGATCTGATTCACCAAGTGGTGGACAATCACTGAGTTTGGATACTTTTGTTTTTCAAAGTCATTTGCACATTACTATGGTGTTGTTTAATGGAAAAAGATGTTTCTCAGGTAGGACTTGAAATAAATTTTTATGTTACTCAACATAATGGCAAGCATTTATCTGCTTTAACACTTTACATTTCCGGTATTTCCTGAGGTTGTCTAGCATTGATAATGTTCTGTTGCACACAAATTCTGGATGTTATTGCTTGAGGTGTCAAAAAATTTTGATTATTGCCCCAAATGTTTAGAATAAAACGCATGTTTAAGAATATATGTATCAGCTCACTGAAATGGTTAGATTTGGCTGAAATATGAAAGACTACACAATTTGAATATATTTAACTGTTATTTTACTTTTAACTTCTACGACCTTAAAGATGGACAAAAATAACAAAAGTGTTCACAATTTGTTTATTTCAACAATGCATGAATCATATTGTTTTGTGCTCCTAACCTTACACTTATGAATTGAGCAATAAATTATAATAAAAAATCAAAATAGGATAAGAATGTAATTCTTTTTTTCTTCTTTTTTTCATTATTTAAAGCATGATCAAAAGAATATACAGTTGGGGTCAGTAATCTGATAGTGTATCTTTTGGTTATTGGATTTTCCTTTTAGAAATGGGTATTAGGAAAAACAAGAAATGAGTGAATATTTGATTTTTGTTTCAAAATACAGAAATAAAAATTACAAAGCAAAGCTGGTCTGTGGCTTATGGTCAGTGTATCTTTTGGTCACTGGATTTTCATTTTTGAAATGGGTATTAAAAAACAAATGAGTGGATATTTGATTTTTGTTTTAAAATTCTGACATTAAAATTAAAATACAAAGCCATTCTCATTCTTAGTGTTGAAAGGGGATAAACAAAATGTTTAAAACGATTTGAGTTTCTTCTTCTGTTTCAGAGAGAAAAAAGAAAATTACTTGAAGACAGAAACGGAAAAAGGCTTGTTTATTTGTATTCTATGACTATTTATTCCCCCACCAGAAGGGGTGCTCGCCTGACAGCTCTGCAAAATGAAACACTAATTTCTGTAAATAAGAGGCTGAAACACAGAGAAGTATGTCCATAAATGAGTTTGATGATGACTGTTGCTCAGTGACCAAAGGCTGCAGAGGTAATTCATGTGGTTTTTGGCCAAATAAGTCTCTTTTACTGAATACATGTTGACTACTGCCTCCATGTTTTATCTCCCATTTTTCTCAATAAAAAGCAAAATAAGATAAATTTCATTCTATTAATGTGTTGTACAGTTGTTGTTCTGTGAGCACAAAGGTTTTTTTTCCTCCAGAGTTTTGACAAAATCTGTGTTTTTTTTTTCTGTGAGTATATGTCCTTGGAGTTTTCCTTTCAGCCAAGGGTGGGTGGTACTACGACTTTGATATCGATCTGATACCAAATAAATACTTGGCAAATTTATTTGATACCGAAGTCAACATCAATGCTTTTTACTTGTAATGGGATGTTCATTGAATAACTTTGATAATGCAGACTCCACTTCTGGTGGTGAAACAGTTTATTGTAGGGATACAGTAAATTGGCACGACCTGTCATGGATTATGAACAAACAAGCCTTTTTTCGTTTCTGCCTTAAACTAATTTTCTTTTTTGCTATCTGAAACAGAAAATTAAATTCAAACCATTTTAAAAATTTCGTTCATCCCTTTTTGACACTAAGAACGAGAAACGCTTTGTATTTTAATTTTTATTTCAGTATTTTAAAACAAGAGTTAAATATCCACTCATTTGTTTTGAAAATCCAATGACCAAAAGATACACAGACCCAACTTAGTACATGTGTGATTACTTATTGAGATAGGTCTATTTTGGAGTTGTAAACCCCCGTGGAGATAAATCCACTAACCCCCACTGGACCGGAGTTGAGTTTTTGGCGTTAGTCAGTTCTCGGTGTGAGAAAGTGGGAGTGTGGCGTGAGAGCGTGTGAAGACCCTCAGATGAGTGTGTCTCACGTCCAGTGTGTGAGACTTGAGAGCCCTGGAAATATATGCAGTTTTCAAAACTGAAAGAAATTGGATTAGTGAGAGGCTGCAGACCACTTGTTAAATTGTCAGTATTGAATCACAAAACTGCTTTCCCACAATATAGATCTCGTGTTAGGTTTTGCAGGGAATGAGAGTTTAGCAGAATGGGACTGCTGGCAGGAAACAATAGTTTTTTGACACCATTGTTTATTTATGCATGCAAGTATGTTTTTGTGTAACTAAAATTACAATAAGAGCTGTCAATGGAACAGAATAAAGAGAGAATGTATTGTGTTTTTTTAAAGCTGTAAAAAGTAATTGTGCCTGTTTACGATGTGAACATCCTCCACCACAGGAAGTGAGGTAGACTTCAGCTCCTCTAGCAGCACAGGCAGTTTGAAGACCAGAGAAATCCTCACCTCCAGTTCCTTTGGGAAGAAACTTCATCCTCGAAGGCATGTAGTGAATGTCCTTGAATTATTTATGTACTCTAAAGCAGGGTTTCTTAACCTTTTTGACCTTGGGGCCCAATTTGTTCAACATGAAGTGACACGAGGTCCAGTCACAAATTACCATACGGATCAAAATGATAATTATTCTAAATCTTGGTTTAATTTGTATTGTTTTTGCATTATAACTAAATAAAATACACTTATAGTTTTAAAAGTAAAACTCCTGTCAAATAATCACAAGACATGACAAACATTTTTTTTTATTGTAACCTGCCCATAACAATTATTTTAACAAATACAACAGTCAGTCAACAGACCACTCAGGCTTATCAACACAAAAGTAACTATTTTTAACAACAAAAATAGACAATTCAATAAATAAAATTGTGGTCATAAAATAAAATCATTCAAAAATATTTAATGTTAAAAAAACTGCAAAAAGATTGAAAAAAGTACAAATGAAATTAAAGCCTTTTTAAACTTTTGCATGCACCAGAAGCTGCATTTCATATTAGTGATAAACAATAATGGTAACAGCTTTTTGACAATGTTTTTAAAAATGAACTACGAAAATTAATTTGATAAACTGCAAATCAAAATATAGCTGTATCTGCAACTGTATTAGATAATGTTTTGAACTTTTAAAATATTGCATGGTAAAATCAAATGCTGCTCTTCATAGTGACAAACTTTGGCACTTTTTTGATGGGTTACTTTCATTTTTGCCTTCTACTTTTAACTTAAAATAGGTTTCCATTCTCGGCAGGTTTCTAAGGTTCTTCTTCAACGTATTGAAAAAAATCGTTAAACACCTGAGTGGTACACTACTGCTACTAGTGGTGAGAAAGTGTATTGCACCTTAATTCAAAATCAATGGCTGTGTCCAAAATGACAGGCCGGGTCCTCCGGAGGACCCAGACTACCCGGTCGAGGTGGGCCAGGTCCTTGGTAGACTGGGAAGACTGGAAAAAAGAGGCTGTGAATTTGGATGATCTAGCCTCCCCTCCACCCCGGCGTACGTCATGTAACCCAGCAACCATGACGATGCTAAACAGAAGCAAAAATAAATCAAAAGTAGAAAAATATCAATATATTAGCATTATTAATATCACAAAACAATAAAATAAACTTAAAGGTAACATTTGAAGAACTAATTGAGCCACTGTAGGTGTGTTTATTTCGCATCTTTTATGACAAAAATAATATTTAAAAACATGTCTATACAAATGATAAAAGTATTAGAACTGCAACCGCTAGAAATTTTTTATTTTTATATCGCCATATTTTTATTTAAAACGTATTCTTTTCTCTCGCTTCGTCCGCCATTACTAGCTTAAAAAATCTCCGGTCAGGCCGCAATGCATTATGGGATATGCTGGGCCGGGAAGGATCCATCAGACCTGTCCTTCAAATCGGGGAAAAGGAAGGACGTATTTGTCGGCCGCATCGGAGGAGTCTTCGGTTGGGGACGTCCTTCTTTGCGGTGCTATGACGTATGCGGCCGACAAATTCGGCCTTCGGAGGACCCGGCCTGCTGCTTTGGACACAGCGAATGCGGTCCCGTGGCCCAAAGTTAAAAACTGTTGTTCTTTTGAGGCCCTCAAGGTGACGCTGTGGACCGTGGCCCATGGGTTAAGAATCTCTGCTCTAATGTATTTCCTGAATACTGTGATTTCTTTATTTTTGTCCTTTTGTCCTTCCTTCCTTCCAGCCATGGCACTCGCATCCGATCACCCCCAGTGTTCAAACCACCCAGTGTCACAACTGTTACCCATGATGCAGAGCTTTATGCTCCCTACAGAACTCCTCCCAGAGCTGCCTCCTCCACCTTCAGCAGCAGCTGCAACTCCAGCCCCACCTTAAGGTACTCGTGGATTTATCTCAGAATTTTCTTATTTTTAAATTAGTTCTAAGGCAGCAAACCCTCAAATGTGTGGGTGGCTGGATTAGACTCTGATTATAATTTCCTCTCTTGCTCTTGGCTGGGATTATACTGACCATAATTTGGCAGAGATTAATGATATTTAAAACAAATGTCTAAACATGCTACTCAGTCACATTCTTGGAAAATGACAACCCACAGCCTTTTCAGTTTTGCTGCAGAAGCCGCATCTGTTATCTACATGTTCACTGCTCTAAACGCATCATAAACCTCTACTTATGTCCCTTTTAAGACATATGATTTATCAGCTTTCATCTGCCTGCATGTGACATCCTTTTCCCCTCCTATGCTACCTTCTCTTTTGCAATTCCATTTCTGGTAGGGATGCAGAGCATTTGCTTCAAAGCCCCTAGTATCCCAGGTTGCTAGGATATTGTATAAAAGATGGGCTCACATGCTGCTGTGCATACTGTGCAAATCCCCCCTCATCTCAACAGAAAAAAAATGCTTTCATATTTGTTCTCTTTAAGAAATGATTAAAATTCTGAACATAATATCCAGAGGACATCTCACTGCACGTGAACTTAGCTGCAGTTTTAGTTTTTAAAAAGGATGTTTCTTTACTTGTTCTCTCTGCATGTGTTCTGATGATGACAGTGTTTTGGGGTTTTAACTACCTTTTTGGTGGAATGATAATCCTTTGTCAAACAATACTTCCAGGCTTTAGGGAGCACAGCACTCTCCTTGCCAGACTAATCACCTTCTACAAGGAGCTGCTTTGCTTTTAAGCATTTTTTTTGGTGTGTGTGTGTGTGTGTGTGTGTGTGTGTGTGTTCTATTTCAAAATGTCCAAACAATGACAAATGGATACTCAGTAGCCTATATGCCACGGCCAGTGGTGGGCACAGTTCCCATAAAGCAGGGGTGGGCAATCATGGTCCTCGAGGGCCGCAGCCCAACATGTTTTACAAGTTTCCCTGCTCCAACACACCTGATTCAGACATTGAATTACCAAGTTCTGCAGTATGGAGGACTGACACTGTCATAACTAGAAAAAAAGTAGAAATATATAAATGGACCAATAAATAAATTCAATTAAAAATGTGCCAATTAAATCTAAAAAGGAGAACTTAATCTCACGTTTTATAATTTAATTGACCTTCATATTTATTTTTCCAACTTAGTTYCAACTAATAATATATTTTTGCACATAATTTACAATTGACTGTTTTTACTGTTTTAATATATAATTATATAT